TTGTAAGTGGTTTTAGAAGGGTAGGCTTGAATCTTTGTTTCCAGCAAGAGAAGGTTGGAAATTAGAACTGCAGGTTCGGTATGGTGGCCGCTCAATTTGAATAAAGTTGGAGTTTGTTATGTGGTTGAATTGAAAATTTGAGTGAGAAGATAAAAATGGGGATGGAAAAATGGTGGTCCAAGTTGAAATTTGAATGAGATTTGATAATTAACTTTTCTCATTCTAAGTTCATTTGATGGCTAGTTAACTAGAAGTAATGTCTTCTTTAGTGGATTGTTGGACATGATGTGATGTTTGGTCTTACATTTGATGAACTATTGGAAATTTGCAGGATCGATTCCTTAAATCGCAGGAGAAGAAGCCAGATACCGCAACATCAACCAAGTAGAAGAGAGTTGACAGTTGCATTAGCTTGTGTGGGCTCTTTCTTTGTCAAGTATGTTGCATTGTGCAGAAATTTGCATGCATAATTTGCAGTTTGAGACTTGAATTTGTGATGTTGAATAATGTTGAATGATTTCTGGGTTTAAGATTGTTGCTACACCCAATCACAATGTTCATGACATTGAATCAGAATAGAGCTTAAGTTGCAATGAATTAGTTGTTTGCTTCCATTATCCTCCTGGAGTTCCTGATTCCTTGACGCGTGTATGACTTTTGATAAACAGCACACATGAATTGCGATCCATGCTTAGGATATTTGTGTCAAAAATTTAGCTCCCATGGTCAAGGCCTGAGTAACATAGAGCAATTACCATCTACAAGATAACCATGCCTGGGGCTTTTATTAACTAATGAATATCAAGGTCTCTGTAGAGGAGAATCTCAGGTGGATTAGCGTGTTGAGTTGTGGTTCTGTGCTTCAAAATTTGTTCATCAGATGAAGAAAACCTCTCTGAATTGAACCCTGGCAATTCATGGTCCCAGGGATTTCACCTGCAGTAAAGGTAGCCTGAAGAGACTGAATCATGGTGGTTTTGTTGAGAAATTCCTCTGAAACTGGAGGCTGAATGGGCAGAGAAGCCATTGGAGGAGACTGGGTCACCATGATCTTGGCTTCTAGAAGAGGTGGTGTGTCTATAGCATGGATGAAGAAGAAATGGAGATGGATCAGAGACGATGAAGCGGAAAGCAAGGCCTATGACTATGACGAGAAAAGAGACTGCAAACTTTACAAAGACATGATTGTACTGTTTACGCGTTGATAATAGCTTCATCTCTAACCTCAATTCAATACCCTCAAAATTCGGATGTCATAAGGACAAGAGATAGATTAGATGGAGCTGAACAGGCTACTCACAACCACCCAAAACTAATGGCAGCTTTGGTTAATTAATTTTAGGTGGGAACTGAGAAAAGGCTGTTACGTACTCTTTTGAGTGTTGTTTGTTATCATTTGTCGAGCGTGGACGACCATATTGGTAGCAAAATGCAGATGTGATATTTACTCTTTTGGTAAGTTGAATGGTCAATTTGGCCTTGCCATAAATTTTCTTTTTTTTTTTTTTATAATTATTAATGAAAAGTGTTACATAATTTAAATTGTACTAAATTACTTAACACTATTAAGAAACCCTTCTCCCATCTAATGATTTTTGTTTTACAATAATTCATTGTAATCTCAACTGAAAAACAAGATTTCCATTATTAACTAGATAAAAATCCTTTTTAAGCTCTCAAACTTTTCCTAAAATAGCATTTGAGCTCCTAAACTAAAAATAAAACGGATAAACCCTCCAACTCCACTAATGATGCAAGTAAACTCTCCTAATTCGAGGTTATTCATGCTTTCAAAAAGATATTAAACATGAAATACCATTTGACCCATTTGTGAGAAGGGCTTATTTGCATTATTAGTAGAGTTTGAGGGTTTATCTACTTTATTTTTTGTTTAAAGACTTAAATGCTATTTTGGGGCAAGTTTGGGGGCTTAAGAAGGGCTTTTGCCAATTAATTACTTTACAAATGCATGCAAACCGGATAGGGTTATTACCGCTAATGCCACACCTTTTTAGTTTTTTGTTTCTTAAATAAATTAAAAAATATAACAGACAATTAAGATAAAAAAAATGTGAGATTAGTAATTGAGGAAGAGACAAATAACACCACCCATGCAAACCATAATCATAATGGTTGCTCATGGATGGGACCAGGAATAAAAGGAAACTAGTGAGAACTAAGAAGATAACGGAAGAGACCATGGGCCCATTCACAAGCCACACCAGTATTCTTACCGTTCAGAGAAAGGAGGAGCATCGACACAAAAATCATGTCTAATGTGTCCGTTCTTCTGGGCCAGATAGACCAATAATTGGTTCTGGCTTTTTAGTACAACATCATTCATCCTTTTTGTGCACAAAAAACAAAGGGAGCAAAATATGCAGACACAGCAGAAATATGACCATCTAAGATTTTCTACCACAGGAACCTTCTCATAGTGTCTGTAAGGTGAATTGCCTGAAAGCCAGCACAGAGACCTAGGATGTACGAATTTAAATTTTGGAACTTGATTGCTGAATAAGTGAAATATGCCAAACCATATGCAGGATGCAGCAACCAATGTGATCATAAAATTTTAAAAAGAAAAAATTACACAATTTGCACAGACAATTACACATGCGCATCTGACTTTGGATTTGCAAGCAAACAACAAGAATACTAAGAAAATCAAAATGGAACCTCACTACATTGTAGATTTCAGTCATTAAGAGCGTACCAACCAGGCAACCATCTAGTCGCTTGATACTCCAGCAAAGGGATAGAGAGTTGCCCAAATAATTCAATGGGTTTTGCGAATATTGAGTTTTCTGATCTGGAAATGGATAGAATAGCCCAAAAACTTCTAATCAATGTCAAACACCGTGACCAGAAGAAATTCATCATGCAGCTGTTTTTGGAACTTTCATGCCAAACCCATGTTTCACCCTCTCAACCCTGTTTAAGTTGTCAAGTTAATAGGACTTCAAGATACGTCAGGTATAATAACAATGGCCATAAACAAATAGATAATGAATTCATTATTTTTTTTTTTGGGGAGCTGTTAAATCAAAAAGGTTAAATACTAATTTTGGTCCCTCAACTTTAAGATTTTACACAATTTTTATCCCTCAATTTTTTTGTACACTTTTTTGATCCTTAACTATGAAAAATGTATTTTTTTAATCCTTCCGTCAACTAATATGTTAAGTCTATCTAAATCTACACATTCTTAGTCCCTCAACCAACTTTAAGTTAAGGGGCAAAAAATTGCATATATTAGAAGTTAAGGGATTAAAAATGTGCAGATTTAGATAGACTTAATGGATTAACTAAAAAAAATGCATTTTTCATAGTTATGGGAACAAAAAAGTGTCTAAAAAAGTTGAGGGATGAATATTGTGCAAAACCTTAAAGTTGTGGGACCAAAATTAACATTTAACCAATCAAAAAAGAAGCAGAATTAGGGATCAGGTCTGATGTGAATTGTGAACCATGCTGAAAATGGAGGTTCAAATCCACTAAAACGCTATTTGGGTGCATACAGAGGCATATAAGGCAATTCCAACTCCCTAGCAGTGCAGAAAATATCATTTTGAAATCAAAATTCAATTGAATATGTAAAAAAAAATTTGAAGCAATATCTTAACTATTTCGACCAAATAGCATCTAAAGAAGATGAAACAAGATAAGAAAAAAAAGGAAAGATCCAGAGAAGTTGGTTCTTACGTTGGTGCAAGTTTGCCAAGACTATCCAGCTCTTCACCAGAGTCCTCATCCACGACTCTGCCAGATATCTCAATGATGTAGGATCTATCTCTATCGGTTGGCAGGCCTCTATTAGCCAGCAAATCTAAATCTTTTTGGTGGAGCTCTCTTCCATTTACAAAAACACCAGTATTTCCACTAGCGCAATTCTCTGGCATTGGATAGTTAAATTCTTCAATAAATGGCTGCAGCGGAAATGACAACAAAAAAAGAAATTATTGGCAATCAAGAGGAGAATTGAATGCTCATGCAGGCACAAACATTTGAAACCAGAATTAGTTGATCTTACAGGAATTATGCCAAGACAAGGACTACCGATTACACCCCAGAATCCAGCTCGGAAATCATACCTGAGTTAGGCATTGTAACATATAAAAAGTTATTACTCAAAGATCACCATATAAGTTCCCATGCATGAGAACTATTTCAAAGGCTCATTGAGCAAAGAGATTATAGATAGTTCAAGATAGAGCAAGAGATAGATCCAAGGAAAAATATTATTACTTGTGCAAATAACCAGTTGCTACTAGCCTACTTGCTAGTTATGAATTTATTTCTTTACAGGAGTATTAGCACCGTAGATTGGAAGTAAATTAATGCACACTTACCAATATTTTCCAGGCTGAATTGTTCCTGCCATCTTTTCAGCCTTTTTAACCACACGATCTGGTATCAGATGGCCATTAACTGACACATTAAATTTCCCACGATCCTCAGTATTGTTAGACCTGGAGAAATCCTTAAAGCTCTTCTTGATAATGTTTGAGAAAAATGATTCACCCCCTTTAGTGGTTTTCTGTTCATCGTCTTCTTTTGTTGCATCCCCTGAATCTTGAGAAATTTCAGCATTAGCATACTCATTGAATGACACCTCCATCTCAGTTGCTAGTGATGCCTCTTTTAAAGAATTTTGTCGTGTAGTGGCCTTGTTTGATACAACCTTCTCTTGATCTGAACGACTACTCCGATTTCCCTTCCCAAATCGGTTAACTGCTTGGTTGTTAGAAGAGTAATCAAAGTGATCTTGCAGGGGTGAACCAGGGGGTGGTGGAGACAAAGAGGGTTTGACTGGCATCTGAACAGAGTTTACATTGTCTCTAGAAGCAATTAAAACATCTGGACTGTTTTCATCCTCAGAGGTGGTTGGCGATGAAGAATCAAAGCTTTGCAATTCCTGAGGATTGACAGAATTTAAATCCTGGCCTGCTGACAGTGGAATGGGATCTCTATCCACTGACTGAAAATCATAACCAGAATTATCATAATCATCAGAGGAGAAATTAGCAGAAATTCGGTTTAAGTGGCCACGGAAATGTGATGTACTTTGTTTCACAACTTCACTAGAGCTATCATAAACCTCCATTGAGACTCCCTTCGTGTCTATTTGATCATGAAAAATGAGCTTCCTATAATCAACACTGAAGTTTATTACTGTAGCACAGGACCCACAACGCAATTTCTGTTCATTTTTTGCCACAAGCTGTATTTTCCGAGGAAGCTCTATTAATTCCAAGCAATTATGGCACAAGAGGAATGGAGCACCACCAGCTATGGGGCGGCAACGGCGGCCTCCTCTAGCTACCACCACCTTGTGAGGATGACACCTAACAAAATTATCCATTTCAGAGTTAATATCACTTGGCCATCTAGCATGAACCTGATTACCACGTGCACTCAATGGAGGCATGGTAGTCATACAGTCATGGCGATGTGGACCAGATGCCCTGGGGTTCTCAAGATGATAGAACATCGGGTTGCTTGTGACATCAGGGTATCTTTTATTGCTAATACCACTGGGTAGTACAGGTGCTGAAACTCGCTGATTTTTGTCATAACAATGGAAACATGAAGATGAAGGCTGGTGCAAAACAGAATTTGGTTGATATGGACTAAGTGGATCTTGATTAGAGTCAACATATTGCCTGCTATGGAATGGATGTGATGGCTGTTGGTGGTATTCACCAGGCAAGTGGTTTGGAGCTCTTCTAAGCATCTGGGATCCAAAGGGATCTCCATACCCAGCAACATGATTTGGATTATGCATTGGAGGATAAAATGCATGCCTGGGCATATCATGCCCGACAGCATAAGGGAATGGATCTTGATAATGACTGAAATAAGGCAGTCCTGCAGCATGTTTATCAGGTCCAAAGAAAGGACCTGAAGCTTTGTCTACACCTGAAGAACCACTTGGAAACCAGGAATCAGGAACAACATAAGGTTCTGAAGGGGCAACCCTACCATCAATTGGTACCTTCTCTTTTGATTTATCAGCCACATCACAAGACCGACTCAGTTTCTCCTTTAGCTCATCTAACTTTCTCAGAAGTTCAGCTCGATCTTGTTCAAGTAGAACCCTACTAGCACCATCTACGTCATTAACATTCCTCAGTGGTTCCCTATAAACATAAGAAGAATCTGAGTAATAGTTTGACGGACCCTCATCTGGACGCTTTGAAGTTGAAAACCGCACATCTTCATCCACAGTTTTTGGTATTCTACGAATCCCCTCCATGTCTTCTTGTTCCCCAGCTCGCCAATCAGACACCCGTCCCAATCTTTGTGATCCACCAGTATATCCAGACTGGGAATTCAAGTCAGCATTTTGCCTTCCAATTGCATTGCCCAATTGATCTTTACTACAGCTCAAATCATGATCATCCTCAACAACCCCTTTTTCACCTTTAAACTTAGCTTCAGTGCTACATCTATCAGCACACGCAACATCATTCTTCTCTGCATCCCTCTGATCACTCTTCAAAGAGCCATCATTTGACCTAACATCTGTATCAGAAACATCACTCAAGTCCACTATTCCTTTTTCTGAGGAAGTCTGTGATTTAGTAGAAACCCCTTCAAGCCTTTCTCCATCTGACTTCTCAGATAAATTAACTGCCTCAGGATTCTTATTTTTTGCTGTCAAATAAACAAACATCATGAGTAAAATACCAGGCAAGATAAAAAAAGAGGAACTAAGCTAGAGATTTCCACCACAACAATTAAACACGAAATTCGATTAGATTTCAGCCCTCCGTTTCTCTTCTTATCAGTTTTTAGGTTTTATCATCATCAACCAAATATGGGTACAATGTAAATCAAAAGAACAAGAATTGAACCTCAAATTTTCCAGTAATGAATCTTGTGATAGCTGATAAATAGCAGCAATACAAACAAATAGAACACCCCAAAAATACCCTTTATCTCAATTCTACCTAATCATCCAATTAAAGTAATAATTTCAAAATTCAACATTTGCAGTAATCGGAACCACAAAAAATACATGCTCAAAATCAAAGTTCTCTCCTTTACATGCCAAATTCTTTCCGAAAATAAAAGAAAGAGGGGGGGAGAGAGAGTGCAGAAGCAGGAATAAACTTTACCTCGAAGAACAGCACCGCATCCACCACACTGGTAAACAGAGTAATCAGCAAGCTCCGGGAGCAGATTTTCGCATTTTGGGCAACGGACCAACCTTACTTTAGTTGACTCGGCCATATTAGAAACAGTCAAAGAAACCCCTCACAGGAAAGAACGAATACCGCCACCAAATGCTCCTAAAGAACTCACTATCACTTAGACTCTGTCCCACTCACGTACCGAACGTACTGCTAAGAACAGGAAAAAAAAAATTTTTTTAAATTGTTTCTTGGTGGAAATTTTGTACCCGAGAAATAAAGAGAACAAGGTAAAGAGAAATAAATGAAAACAACTACCAAAGATCAACAGTTAAGGATTTCTGGTTCCGGAAGCTGAGAGCTTTGAATGCAAGTGCTTTTCTTTTTCGGTTTTTCTTCCTAAGGTTCAGTTTTCTCAGCCACCAAACAAAGGGAAAGAAAGAAAGAAAGAAAAAAAAAAAAACAGAAGAGTGAGAAAGACAAAATTCCTCGGAAATACAAAATAGATACAATGAAGAAAACTTGTTCGAGGATGGGTTGTGTTCTGAGAAATCAGCGGTTATGGAAAACGTCTGTGTTTTTTCGGAACAATTTAGAGAAGGGGGGGGAAAGACGAGTTCACGGGAAACGTTTTCCAAGGATGGGGGGGCGGAAACAGTAAGTGATGTTGCCCACTGCAACGCAGGGAAACTGCGAGGCAAATAGTGTAAACTGTAAAACGTTGTCGTTTTGGGATAATAATACGACAGACATAGTCGATACCAATATTCCACGACAGGCCAAAAAATACTTTAGGTAGGTAGGGGAATCGTATAAAGTCTGAACGCGAAGAAAAAAAAGGAGAAGAGTTGGATGAACGACTTTTTTTTGACGAGAAATTGCTACATGCACTTCATTGTTTTGCTTCTTCCACTCGATGTTTTCCCATCTTTAATAATGGATATAAGAAAGAGACTTGACAACTATTTATTTTATTGATTTGAATACAAGGGTCTGATTTTTTTTAAATAAAATTTTAAATTTAAAATTTATAAATAAAAAATAAAATATTAAAAGAGTTTTTCTCAATATGAAATCAAATTTGATTTAATTCTAAATTAATTAAAATTTAATGTGATTTTTAGATTCCAAGAGTTAATAAAAAAAAAAACTTGAAAATGAATTTTACCTTGAATACAGACAAAAAAAAAAAGAAAAAGAGTAAAGAAAATTAGTGACGGATTTGAATGAAAACATGTTACTTCTTGTCATCCTTTCAACACAAGTAAGATGATGCTAAAATTTTTAAGAGCCAGTGTTATTTAAAAACACTAATTATTAAATGAATGGTATTATTTAAATATTAAAATTTTTTAATTTAATAATTAAAATTTTTATAGTGTGAATTTTAATGTATAACTTATATGATTATTGTATAAATTTTTCACC